TCATTACACTGCTTATGTTTTATTCCGTTTCATTTTATCTCCCACCATTTTTTTTATAATGTTCATGATTGTACAGCACCTTCCTTGTGAATATATTTCTGTGAAAGGCACTTTATAAATATACTAATTAATTGTCTAAAATTTATCTGTTTTAGATTAAAGATGCTGCCTTTGTTAAAAATAACATTGTGGTTCTCTTTGCATCTATTACCTTTCAGCAACTTTCCTGGTGGGGCTTGAGCAGGCTGTGTTTTGGAGCTGAACGTCTGGGCGCCCAGCGCTGCACGTGGTCTTGTCTCTGCGTCCATAATCAGCTCCGTAGACAGAGATGATCAGTCCTTTGTCTGAGAATGAAAACAGGAATGCATATAAGTGTTTTGTTTAAAATGTAAAAATATCCAAGTAGGAGAAAAATCAAATCTTACCACACTGCAGGTCTGCCTGAGAGTGCTCACATATTGCACGATGAACTGAAAAACAGGTTTTGTGATCAGATTTTTCCTCCATGTCTACATTTGCCTCCCCTCCCCCTAAAAAAAAGGGTCTGTATTTAATCTCAACTTATACTGACTAGCTGGGAGGCAGGTGTAGGTGGTCTGCAGGTACTTGGCAGTACCAACGCATGGATCAGATCCAAGGCTATTGGGGACCAATTCACACACCTTTTTTCCATTGCATCTGCAGGAAAATTACAGTATAAGAAAATACGGGACTGGATCCTTAAACTGAATTACCAATACACCAAACCCAATAACACCTTTCATTTTAGAACTGAAACAAATTGTTTTGCTCCCAAACACAGGGGACTTAGCTTACCTCTGCCTGACTGTGTCAATGACGCCCTTCAAAGAGCAGCTGGTGTCGCTAGTTTGGCTTGAGGGTTTCCCCTTGCTGCAGGTCCCCTTATTTGCACGTCCATACAGTGAGGTCTGAACACTGATCACTCCATCAGATTCTATTACAGCATCAAAAAATAAAATCTGACAAGACATTTTGTTAAAGTCAACCTGCAGTAATTAAAAATGTCTTACCGCAGCTCAGACGTTGGGGCACCATCTCTTCGCAGGTGGTAACAGTCTCTGTTGGACAGCCTAAAAACACAAAACAATGACAGCATAAAAAAAATCAAAGTGTATTAAACTCATCTGCATAACATAATTACCTGCGTGTACAAGCAGACAGCTTGCTGCCAGCACTGAAAGAGAAGGAAATAGAATAGTTATTAAAAATATATATTAAAAGTCACATTACTACAAATGTACTTACAAAGAGCAGAGCTGAAGTACAGCATGGTTTAATTCTGGTGTTCAGTGAAACTGAGGAGGTAGGAGACACACTCAGTATTTATGCAGTTGGACCTGGGAACAATGAACTGATAACCTCAGGAGGTGAGGTTGGCACATATCCAGTCTGGCAGAGGAGTGAAAAAG